TCCAGGCAGGGCCCTTCTCCTTGTTCAGTGTTGGTGCAACCTCCTCTATACTAGCACATGAAGTAAGCCCTGCTGCATGTTATATGGACAGGGGAGGTGAGAAATGCAGCCAGCTCTGGGGAGGAGGAAGAGAAAGACAGCAGCCAGCCGTAAGCAATTAATACACTAAGCAGATGGTAAAGGCAGAAGAAGGGATCAATGGGATCCTGCCTTCCTCCATAGCCTGGGCCAGAGATTACACAGCACGCCTTGAACCTTGGGAGAGTTGGGGGAGACACGATCCCATTGCAGCTGGGCTAATCTTTTGCCCTAAAGGGTGTTTCATAGACATCCCAGAGACACGGGGCGAGCAGGGAGATGCAGAGGTCCCATCTAGTCCAACCCCTGCCTGAGGCAGGATCAGCCCTGTGCAAACCAGCCCGGTCAAGCCCACGGTCCAACCTCTGAGCAAAACTACAGGCAGCCCTGACATGGCACTGGGCATCACACCCGACCTGCCAACGCGGCAGCCAACGTCCTGCTCTTGCAGAGGTTGCTAATAGACTCTCAAGAGACCCCAGGTAGAGGCCGTGCCCCTGCTACAGAGGAAGGCAAAACCCCACTTGTCCGTACCGGGAGGGGGAATTGCTTCCTGAGCCCAAATGCAGCATTGGTCTGACCCTGAGCGGAGGGGCAAGACCCTGCAGGGTTGCATTGGCACAGCCCAGTCCCCATCTCCAGCCAGGGCTGCAGCCAGCACCCAGCGCCTCTGAGCAAGATTTAAAAAGAAAAACACCTGATGCATGTTTTGCATCCGTCCTGAGCAGACAGACCCAGGCATGGGGCTGGCTGTGCGGGGCCCAGGACCCAAAGGGCCCTGCCGTGACCCTGATCCGCAGTGCTCCCAGCACAGCCACGGCTCCTGCCCATCACCGAGCACTGTCCAGCGGGAGCCGCCTCGCTTTGCCCAGAAGGGAACAATGGGCCGCGTCTGTAATGAGCTCAGGGCTTGCCAGCCGGCCCCGCTGCCTTTGTCTCCTTCCTCCCCCAGACCCTGCTGCCTTGATGAGGCCTTTCTCTCCGCATCCTCTGGCACCTCGGCCGGGTTTCAGAAAGGAAGCAATTAGCACAGGGAAAGCAGGGAAAATAATCTGTTTTCTTTTAAATGAAGAAGGGGAAAGAAGGAGGGGTGGGTGGGAAAACAACCAACCACCCTCCTTTCCATCTGGCAGCAGCTGTTTGTCGTGAATCGCCTGATGTGTCCTAGACCCCGTACTGCAAAGGGGATGTGGATTCAGTGAAAATGGGTGGCATCAATGGATGAATTGCAAGGGATGCAATGAATTGTATTTGGTCTAATAAAAAATATCAGATTTGCCCGATGAAGCTGGTCTGCCCATGCCGTTAGATCAACACGGCTACAGCCAACTCCCCTGAATCAATGGATGAATGTGCTCATGCCAAATACTCACAGGCTCCATGCTGGCTCTTGCGCTCTTTCCAGCAAATGTCTCCGCTACCCTCAGCCTCAGTTTCCCCCTCTGTAAAAAACAACCCTGAACCCTTGCATCAGCCGGCGACAGGCAGCCGTGTCTGGGGAGGAGCACGGCAGGTGCTGAACAGAGCGCTGCAAGGTTTGCAAACAGGTTAAGTTTAAGCTGGGCTGTTCCAGTCATGGCCAAGCTCTTCCCTTCTCCATCCTTTGTAGGCTATTATTACTTGCAGTATGACCCCGGCTTGCTCCTGTGATCTGCATAGTGATGGACTCCGGGGAAGCTTTCAGTGCATTGCTGGCTCTTAAAACGGGCCACAAATCACACCCTGTTTGCAACCCTTGTGCATTGCTGCGCTCTGCCATGCGCCTCCCCAGATGTGGCTGCCTTTCACGGGCTGATGCAAGGGTTCAGCGTTGTTTTTGACAGAGGGGGAAACTGAGGCCAAGGGCAGCAGAGAAATTTGCTGGAGAGAGCACAGGAGCCCGCATGAATATTTGCTGTGAGTGCATTCAACCCGTGATTCAGAGGTGTTGGTTGTAGCGGTGTAGGACGGCCTCAGCCACGCCGGAGCTAATGAAGCCACTTCACATCCAGGCCAGATAAAAGGTGATGTGAAAGGACAGCTCTGGATTTATTAGCCAGGCTGTGATCTGGAGATGAGCCCCAGCCACATCGCCGTGCGCGGGCGGTGTTATCTCCTTGATCCATCACCGAGACGACATCTCCGCCGGCTGGTTTTCCTCTGGCCCATTATTCATCTTATGTTTGCTGCGCCCACGTCTGCCTGGGAGCAGGAAGAGACACCGTGGTGGACCTGGGCAGGGAGGGACGTGTTGACAAGGGGTGTCCTCGGGCTGGGTGGAGGGTAGAGGGCACGGAGCAGCCATCGCTCACATGGGCATCGGGGGGGAAGGACAGACAATCACAGGGAGTGATGCCTGGATCATGTAGTCCTGCAAACAGGGAGGAGTGTGAGCGTGGGACCTCTCTAGGCAGCCCATTCCCCCATCTCTCTGAGCCCTTCACTACCTCCTTGAGTTAGGAGGGCTGCACTATCATCCCCATTGAGGACAAAAGCGGCTAAGGGATTTGACCAAGGATGCTTTCCCCCCAATTGCCTCCTCTGCCTTTGGTGTGCAGAGCTCGCAGCAGGGCAGCCAGGGCAATGCAGGCTGCTGATCCCCACGGGGAGACACCAGAAGGATCAGACACATGGACCTGACCTTCCCTTCTTCCTTAACCCCAGCTCGCTGCATGGTCAAAGGTCTGGCCCACAGCTTGGAGCAGGAATCAAAGAGGGGTGCCAACGCACCCCTTTGGCTCCACCCCTGGGCCCATTTTTAAACACAGATCCCATTTCCAAGAGAAAAGCAAGACAGTTTCATTTGGAAATTGTCCAGACAAAATATTCCAACGTTCCCCCTTTCTTCTCCTTTTCCAAATTCAGCCAAATTTGCAAATATTTTCAATCCAACAACAACAACAAAAAAGAAGCAGAATTTGGGAGGAATCTTCTGCTCCTCAAAAACATTTTATCTGGCTTTGGCAGTGGCGTGCATCTGTGCGTGCTGCAATGGGTGCTTTGTGATCACGAAATATTTTCAATCAAACAACAACAACAAAAAAGAAGCAGAATTTGGGAGGAATCTTCTGCTCCTCAAAAACATTTTATCTGGCTTTGGCAGTGGTGTGCATCTGTGCAATGGGTGCTTCGTGATCACGGGATGTCCATCTCCAAGGTGGGGAGCCTATCCCTTGTTGAGAAATGGGATGTTCCCTGAAAAGCATCTACGTGAGCACCTGCAGAGAAAGAGCTGGCTTGGAAAAGCTGTTGCAGTTGGAGGAGGGTATGAGCTCTGCAACAGTTAATGCACTGGAGACATCCACCAGCTTCTCTGAACCGGATAAGTCACCGTGGTGAACTTTGCTCTGCCAACTAGCGCTAACGTGGTGGAATAAGCCCTGGGCATGTTTTGGAGTCTCTGACCTTTGATCCCGTGCCGGTGCTGCCTTGAGTCAAAGCTGCTGAGCCGTTCCTGAGGGAGGATTTCCCATGGGCATGTGAGAGTAATTCATGCTGTGTCTTGGCACGGTAGTCACGCTATAATGGTCAGGGTCCCTAGTGTAGACACATCTCTGCCGCAGAAGGAGACTTTTGTGCTTCTTGAGTTATACCAGCTCCCCTGAATGGCACCAGGTCTCCTGGCAGAGGTACTTTCAGGCTAGAAGAGCTGAGCTGAGACTCCAGGCTTGTGATGCTGGACCAAAGGCTGCTCCCTCTCTTAATTGGGAGGCTGTTTAATGAGTGGAGCCTTCCTGGACTCAGCAGGGGTGTATCACTGGGAGAGGCGCTATGCCTGGTATGGACCAAATGGGGCCAGAACACGCCAGTGGGGGGATGTGGATTGAGCTGGTGTGCTGGGTGCCAGCAGTTCAAGGAAGTTTAGGGGTAGATAGGAAGAAGAAGGGGAAATGATGCCAGTGTGACTGTGGCAAAACCCACCAGGTCATCAGCCTTGGAGAGGACGTTCCCTGGGGCATGCAAGCGAGCCCAATCCCTGCTTAGAGGAGCAGGAGCCAGGGCACATCTCAGCCAGGTTCCTGGCATCTCGTTCAGAGATGCTGCTAGGGCTGTAGCTCGGCTGCTGTGGACCACACTTGGAAACAGATGTGGAGTAGTATGAGGTGTGTGCCATTTATGCAGGGGGGGAAAAGAAGATCTTGCTGGGGATTGCTCCCAGATGCTTCACTACCCAGTGCTTCACCACCCTTCTCATGAGAAAGTTTTTCCTAATATCCAACCTCAACTTCCCTTGCTGCAGCTTGAGCCCATTGCTGCTTGTTCATCATCTGCCCCCACTGAAAACAGTCCGGCTCCCTCCTCTTTGCAGCCCCCCTGCAGGGGGTTGGAGCCCCCCTTCCCCACCTTTCCTTCCATCCAGCCCACTGATCTGACAGGAAAGAAGTTTTTTCTGGGTGCATCTACACATTTATTAACATGCCTTTGCTAATGCACATTAAATTGAGCACCTGTAATGTAAGGTACTAGCTAAATGTGCATTAAGCTGCCCTACTGCTCAATAGCGAAAGCGCCCGCTTTCTTAGTCATGCTTAATGTGCAGAAGCCGAATTTTACTGTGCATTAGTGTATTAGCGCAGTTTTTGCTGCAATGCTCTAATGCACAATAAAATAGGCTACTGCACATGAATGTGCATGTGTAAATGCAGCCCTGGAGATCCTGCTTCACTGTTGCATAGTGCAGAGGCGCTGTCCACCCCTTGCCTCACTTGACCCCCCAGCTGCTGGCATCACAGTGTGGTGTCCGGACCGAGCTCCCAGCCTACCCCGGCCTCCTTACACTAGCAGCACACTCGCTAGCAGCCTCCCCTGAGCTACACAGCTTTTAAAGTTGAGTCTCGCCAGCAGCCAAGAGCAAGAGCCAGCTCCCTGCAACGCTCTGAGCTACGGCCCTGCATGACCTACATCCTGCCCAGTCATTAAGCAGTCGTTTTCTTGTCTCCTGGCCAGCACCATACCTGACCCCATCAAGCATGCCCCATGCACTCTCCTCCAGTGTGGCAGGGGGAAAGCCAGCTCCTCTCCAAAGGCAATGGCACCGAGCATTTGCAGGTAATTATGAAGCTAATGGTAGGGCATAGGCAGCCAGGCCCCTTCAGGCATTTGATATTTATTCATCCATCCATTATGCATTTATGAGGGGATCCAAATGGCAGGCTGCGCTCCCTGGGGAGGGCTGTGCCCAGGTTTAAGTGCCTCTTCTATGACCGGCACTGATTGCATTGGAGGAGAAACATAAGCAGCCCTGGCTTTTCCCATCCCTTGTCGCTGCACCGCAGCCTAGAGCGCTCTCTAAAGCCACCGCTTTGAAAGCAGCTGCCCCATGAGGTGCACTCAGGGCAGTTTTGGAGATGAACCCCAGTACAGCTGTGATGGTTGTGAGGAGCACCTTCAGCTTGAGGACAGGGCGCCGAAGAGGTGCCGGGATAACAGCCTGCAAATACGTGAAGGGCTGCCAGCAAGAAGAGGGAGACCCCTTTTCTCTCTTGCTGCAGAGAGCAGGATGTGGAGCAATGGTTGAAGTTGCAGCCAGTTAGGTTGGTGCTGGCTCCCAACCCCAAGTGCTAAGCCCAGCACTTCGCTGCGGTGGGTTCACAACCCCTGTCCAACCCTGCAGGAAGAAGCTGAACAGGAGCCAGCAGCATGCCCTTGGTGCCAAGAAGGCTAATGGCATCCTGGGCTGCATTGGGAGATAGAGGGCAATGGCTCTTCCCCTCTATTCTGCACTGATGAGGCCACATCTGGAGTCCTGTGTCCAGCTGTGGGCCCCCACTGCAGAAAGGATGTGGACACATTGGAGAAAGTCCAGCGGAGGACAATGGAAATAGTTGTGGGGCTGGGGACAGGACTGGTGAGGAGAGGCTGAGGGAACTGGGCTGATTGAGTCTGCAGAAGAGAAGCCCGAGGGGGATTGAATAGCAGCCTTCACCTCCCTGCAGGGGGGCTGCAAAGAGGATGGAGCTGGGCTGTTCTCAGTGGGGGCAGATGACAGAAGGAGCAATGGGCTCAAGTTGCAGCAAGGCAAGTTGAGGTTGGATATTAGGGAAAACTTTCTTGCTAGGAGGGTGGTGAAGCACTGAAACAGGCTCCCCAGAGAGGCGGTGCAGCCTCCATCCTTGGAAGTTTTGAGGACCTGGGTAGACAAAGCCCTGGCTGGGATGATGTAGTTGGGGCTGGTCCTGCTTGGAGCAGGGGGTTGGACTAGATGTGACCTCCTGAGCTCCCTTCAACCCTCCTTGTCTTGGACCGTATGACCTGTGTGGCAGGCTGAGGCTGCTGGCAGCTGGAGCACCCTCTCCACCCCTGGCCAGAGCCATGTTTTCCCTGTGTGCTCCTGGAGGAAGGTGGGGAGGCTGGGGCGGGGGGAGGTGGCAGGGGCAGGGGAAGCTGTTATTCATTAGCTCTTTGCTGGCCAGCATTCCTCAAGCAGGTTCTGCCGCCCGGCCCGGCCAGCGAGAGCCTGGGCTCAGTGCTCCCGGTCCTGCAGGACAGCTCTGCCCCCGCTCGCTTCTGCCCCAGAGCCCCCAGACTGCTCCAGGACCCCCTTAGCACCCTCCGCCCGGGGACCAGGAAGGAGCCCCCCTTGCTGCAGAGACCCGCTCCAAAGGGAAGCAGCAGGATGGTAAGGAAAGGCCAACCCTTGGAGCATCAGAGTCCAAGAGTGGAGGCAGGGCCCTGGCTCGGGCGGGCAATGCAGGACGGCACCCACGCGCAGAGTGCAGGGCTGATGGCTTGTGTTTTATCTTTCTTTTTATCTCCTTTTCTTTCCTATTTTTATTTTTATTTTTTTATTTTCCTTTCCTTTCTATTTTTATTTTTATTTTCCTTTCTTTTCTTTTCTTTTTACTTATATTTTATATTTTTACTTTTTATTTCATTTTATTTTTGCAGCAATACCATTGTTTCATGAAAAATGTCCTTTTTTCCACCAAAAATTACATTTTGAATTGACAAAAATGGAGGCAAAAATGAAAACCTTGTTCCTTTGTAATAGAAATTGAACCATTTTGGTGCTTTACTTTGGGACCTTGGGGGATTATGGTTTAAAAATGCAACAGTGTTCCCCCCCTCCAAATATTGATTGCCTTCTGTGTTTTTTGGCTTCTCTTCTTAATGTATTGTTGATGGGTGGTGTAGATGCGGGTATTGATGGGTGGTGTAGATGAGGTATTGCTGATAGGTGGTGTAGATGCAGGTATTAATGGGTGGTGTAGATGGGGGTATTGCAGATGGGTGGTGTAGATGGGGTATTGCTGATGGGTGGTGTAGATGCGGGTATTGATGGGTGGTGTAGATGGGGTATTGCAGATGGGTGGTGTAGATGGGGTATTGCTGATGGGTGGTGTAGATGCGGGTATTGATGGGTGGTGTAGATGGGGTATTGCAGATGGGTGGTGTAGATGGGGTATTGCTGATGGGTGGTGTAGATGCGGGTATTGATGGGTGGTGTAGATGGGGTATTGCAGATGGGTGGTGTAGATGGGGTATTGCTGATGGGTGGTGTAGATGCGGGTATTGATGGGTGGTGTAGATGGGGTATTGCAGATGGGTGGTGTAGATGGGGTATTGCTGATGGGTGGTGTAGATGGGGGTATTGATGGGTGGTGTAGATGGGGGCATTGCAGATGGGTGGTGTAGATGGGGGCATTGCAGATGGGTGGTGTAGATGGGGGCATTTTTGCCCACATTTGCCCACCAGGGCTATCTCAGAGACTGGCTGGAGGAGGTGGTAGGGTTGGGTAGCTGTGAGGGGCCAAGAAATCTGCATGAAGCCAGAGGGGTTATTGTTTAGTGATCTCTTGTTGGCGGAAGGTGGAGGTTTCCCCCCAGAAGCAGTGCTGGGGAGAGGCGGAAAGCAGGCAGCGTGTGGGCTCAGAGCAGGGAGCAGCGGTGACCCACCCCCCGCCCCATGCACACACTGCCCTCCCCTCACCTTGCAGAGAGCCCCAGGGAAAGTGTCCTTTTACAAAGCAAGTGCTTGAAATAGTTTTTTGATTGCAATGGCCTGTGAATTGCAAAGACAGCCATCAAGCCACCCGACGCATAGCAGAGGGGCCTGGTGGGTGCAGAGACCGGCAGGAGCAGGAGCTGCCAGCTTGGGGATAGATGGTCCTTGCCTCACATCAGCCCAGATGCTGCCGGCACAGCCGGAGCAGGGAGGGGGCCGCAGAGAGAGATGAGGGCAATGGGGGGTGTTAGGGTCTGCTGCGGTCCCCTGAGAGCTATCTAGACGTGCCTGTTGGTGGGGGGCTGCAGGGGGGAGTCTGCAGATGCTCTTCATTGAATGCATGCCCATGTTGTAACCCCCCGGGGAACAAACTACTGTGGCTGGTGCTGCCTCTGCACCAGAGGCCCCAGTTGCTGCTGCCCTGAAGGAAACAGGCTCCTAAGTCCCCAAGGCTGGAAGAGTGGAGGCAGCAGCCTTGTGCAGTGGGTAGTGCCTGGGGCTGGGAGACCAGGAGAAGGGGTTGTGCTCCTCTCCTGTATGTCACCATAGAGCTGAGGGAGAGCACCCACCCCTACGACTTGAAGCTTTGAAGCAGGCGTAGGTCTAGCAGAGCTGTGTGCATCCCCATGCCCAGGGGGCTGAGGGGTCAGAGAGTGGCGCCCGAGCCCCAGGGAGTCACGGCATCATTGCAGCCCATTTTGTGGCAGAGTTATTATCCTGCAAAGACACAGGAGGCAGGTTCATGGCCACCCATGGGATGTTTGCTGCCTTATCAGGATGCATCTCGCTGGAAGAGATGCAGTGGAGACCAAAGAGATCCTGCTCCTCCGCGGACCTGCAGAGACTGGCCACCTGTGCGCCACCCGGTCACCCCCTGGCCTGCGGTCGATCATTTGAAGTCGATCATTTATTATAGCCCAAATAGTCACAGTCACGGTCAACCTGACCCCATCTTGTGTCCTGCCTCAGTAGCAGCACCCCTTAGAGGGCACCGTCGACCACCCCAAACCGTGCCCCAATCTCCGGTAGGGAGAGGTGGCCCATCCTGAGCTAGGAGGCTTGACATCCTTCCCACAGCGCTTGCTACCATGAATCATGATACGTCTGGCCATGCTTACTACCCCCATGGGCATCCCATCCTTTGGGGGTTGATTTCTCAGTTCCAATGGCTTCCCATAGCGGCACGCGGTTTCACCACATGTGACCCGGACAAGGGTTTCCTTTAATCCACTTCAGCTTCATTTTTTAAATTCATCTCAGGTTCACGGCCATGGAGGCGTCCAGTTCCAGAACTGGGCCAAGACCTACGGCTCCTCCCCGGAGCTGTATTTCCAGCCGACGTCGGTGGAGGAAATCAAGGAGGTAAGAGGGGAGCGGAAATACGGCCAAACTCAGCTCAGCACTCGGGGGGAAGCGGATGGTGGGAAGTTTGGGGCCCGAGCGTTTTTGCCAAAACACGGGCCTGGAAGGCCCTTCTTGGGTCATCGTTGCCATCCCGTCAAATACCCCCCTTCACAAATGAAAGCTATCTAGCATGGCAGGGGCCCTAGCGAAAGGGGTGTACCTGAATCATATTAGCCCATTGGACTACTGGTTCCAGTCGGCTCTTTGGCTTGATGGTCTTTGCCCCATGTGCGCTACTCTTCAGCTTATTATGGAAGGGTCCTGGGTTCAAGTCTCACTGCAGACTGGTTTAGACCGACCCTCTTCCCACCCCCGGGGCCTGTCCTGCCTTTGCCAAGGGAACGGCGCTCATGGCCACGTGATGCTGTTGCAGATTTTGGAGCTGGCCCGGCAGCGGAACAAGCGGGTGAAGGTGGTGGGAGGTGGACACTCGCCCTCTGACATCGCATGCACGGACGGCTTCATGATCCAAATGGGGAAGATGAACAAGATCCTCAAGGTGGGTGCTGGCAGTGTGGGCTATACTACGGAAATATGGGCGGGCAGGCCTGGTGGCTGGAGAGCAGGGGCAAGCCCTGGGCAGCAGCTGGGGGTCAGGGCACCAGACCCAGAGCAAGTCCGTTGAATGTCCTGGGTGTGTCTACACGTGCATTTAAGTGTGCGTAAATTTAATGCGCATTAGCTTAATGCACATTAAGTGGGTTTAGGCAGGTGTCTACACGTGCAGGCATTAAAGCACATTAATGCTTTGTGTGGACTCACTTGGGAATAATTTAGTCCCAAGTCAGTCCACAGACAATGTTAATGTGTTTTAATGCGTCTACATGTGCGTTAATGCGCTTTAACTATTCGCGCCTAAATTTGATGCTTCAGTTTGCAGGTATCAGATTTAAGTGTGAATAGCCTAAATTCTCCATTTTTAATGTGCATTAAGGGCGTGTACATGTAGCTGCGCACCATGCGCATTAACATAGGCTAATGCACGTTAAAGCATCATGTGTAGATGCGCCTCCTGTCACCAACTGTTCCCCATGGATTAGGGAGCATGCGGGCAGGGGCCATTCTTGGCTAAACCCAAACTGCAACTCATGAGGCTAGAAATCTCCTGGGAAAAGCAGAGCAATCACACCCTGGCATAATTTCTAGCTGATCCAGGAGCTTCAGATAAGCTGGCTACGAGGCAGCTAAGCAGCCAAATTTCTGTGTGCTTATCCAAACCAAGCCTTATGACATTTCCCCACCTTGACTGTACATGAATTTGCCTTTAGCAAAGGAGCTTCTTTTTCAGCAGATGAGCAAGAACGTACATGACAGCAAAATAAAACATGTCAGGCATTCAGATTTCCACACCTTCCTGGCAAGGGGCCTTTTTTCTCTATCAGAAACTTGTCCTTTTTTTTTTTTCTTTCTTTCTTTTTAAACTTGTAATCCTCAACTAAGACACAGCCAAATCCAGGCCAACTAAGCAGGTAAAGGAAACAGACACCTTTTGATCAAAAAAAGGACTTCCTCACCTTGTCAAAGGATCTTCTTGTGTGTGTAGACATTAGAATCATAGAAAATGAGGGTGGGAAGGGACCTCAGGAGATCACATCTCATCCAACTCCTTGCTCAAAGCAGGACCAGCCCCAACTACATCATCCCAGCCAAGGCTTTGGTAACTCAGGAGGGAAGTGCCCGGCATCTCATCATAACCCAGCGCGCACAGTGCACCCAGCTGGTTTGGCCTGTGCGTTCCCTGTCCATATGGCTCCCGGGGCTGGATGCTCCATGTCCACCTCACCCATGTCCAGCAGCAAGTGGGCTTCTCTCTGGGGCTGTGCACACTGGCCCGTCAGCTGATCCCTGTTGGATCTCTTGCAGGTGGATAAAGAGAAGAGGCAAGTGACGGTGGAAGCAGGGATGCTCCTCTCTGATCTGAACGTCAAGCTGACCAAGTATGGCCTGGCGCTGGCCAAGTAAGTGAACCTTGCATGTGCTGGTATGCTAAAATGGTCTCGATCCTTTGACTCATTCATGAGCCCCAGCTGTAATGAGGGGCAGCTGTCCAAAAACTTCCTCCGGTCACGGCTCTCTGCCCGTGGAGCTGGTGTAGCAGTAACGTGCAGAGTCCACCATCAGATTATCCGGTGTAACTTCAGAAACTGCATTTTCTTGTATAAAATGCACCCTAGAATACAACACACTTTGTTTCTGAAAATGAGAAAAAAATGATATTTCCTTGTAGTAAGTAACCGAGTAGCAGCAGCGAGGGAGCTGCCCCTGCTCTGGTTCAGGTCCCTATGAATTCTGCGCAGATTTTACTCTCACATTTCCCCATAACCAGTAGAAACACTTCTTACCATATTTCTTGCATATAATATGCACTGCAAATTCCAGCAGCTGGGTTTTTGTCGGGGGGTGTGTATTGTATATGCAGAAATACAGCACTTAGCTGTTGCTGGTCTTGTTCCTGCAATGAATAGGAGAGCAGACTGTAGCAGACTGGCTGGCAGAAGTTTACACCAAGCTGCACACCTTAGGCTGTAGCACTTTGCAGGTGTGCAAGCCCAGCTGCAGGCTATAGGCACCGATTGCGGGCTGCCTAGGAGGACTGGGCCAGCTGAGAATGATAATTAGCTGGCCACAGGAGCTAATTCACAGAATTGAATCGCATGGGGAAGAGCTTGCTGATGGCTGTTTCTTCAACCGGGCCAAAGCAGAGTAAAGTTGAAAGGCTAGAAGCTGCAGCCAGGCAAACTCGGGCTGGAAGGGGGGCCCTTAGTGTTTAAGGGAGGAGTAGCCATCAAACTGACTTATACCCAGGCACAGTTGAGTCTCTGAAGCAGCACTAAGGATCTGCTCCAGCTCCAACACAGGGTCTGGGTTTGCTATGGAGCATATGGGTCCGGTTCTGAGTGCGAGGCGGTGCAGGGCACCAGGTGAGGTTGTTGCAGTGGTCCCTGCTAGCACCTGTGCTTCATACCACCTCTGCTTGTTGAAAGGCTTTGAGGAAGACCCCCTCTTTGAGGAGAGATCTGTAGGCATCCTGGGGAAGCCTCGGAAAAGCCTTTCTCAGGCGCGGCTTCACTTTCACTCACCGATGCTAGAGGAGAAAGTTAATTACAGGGGAACTGAATGAGATTGATTTCCTGGTCGATGCGAGGTGATGCTGAGCTAATTAAGGGTGCCCTGGGGATCTGCGTGGACACGCTGGCCGGGACTCGGATAAGCTGTCAAAAATACATGCCTCAGCTCTGCCGCCACAATAGATCACTGCAGAAATTAATGAGCCATTTTGCATGTGTTCAACTGTGCATTTGGGGCCAGTAGCGAGGGGTGTAACTTTGTACCTGGCTGCATTTCCCAGGCAATGTGAACTCACGGGGTTTGGAAGAGGACCATTTTCCTAATGATCATGGCTAATTGTTTGCCCTGATGGAGTGAGCAGAGTCCCTGGGTGCGATCGGGGTCCCAATATACAAGGCATAGGTGGTTCTCACCTGGGATCCCATGTGATCCTTTCAAGGGTGTCACAAGATGGCACTCCGTGTTGGGTGAGCACACATGACTCACAAGATAAAAAACCAGAGATTTCCAATAGAAATCCAGAGATAAAAACCTTTTGACCCATTGTGGTTATTTCTTCTCTTTTGAGAGGAATTGGACACGGCGTGCTGCTACTATTTGAAGACTGTTATCAAATCTCCCCTTGGTCTTCTCTTCTCCAGATTCAGGAATCCCAGTTCTTGGAGACTTTCCTCATAAATCATCTTATGACATCTCATTTCTTAATCTGAGAAGGGAGATGAGTACAGGGGAATAGTGAAACAGGACGTTTAATCCTGACAAGGGGAAATATTAATTGACTCCTAGAGAAGATGGGCTGGCAGGGAGCTGCAGAGGTCATGTCTAGTCTTGAGGTAGGATCAGCCCTGGACAAACCCGGTGCCCAACGTCTAAGCAAAGTGACACAGTCAGTCCTGCCACAGCACCAGGTATCACATCTGAGCCGGCCACAGGGAAAACAGGGGGACCGTGGCAGCCAACATCCTGCTGCTGCAAAGGTTGATAATATACTCTCACATTAAAATGCTGTCATGTAGTTGGGGCTGGTCCTGCTTGGAGCAGGGGCTGGACTAGATGCGACCTCCTGAGGTCCCTGCAACCCTCATTTTCTATGAGTCTATCAAAGACCCCAGCTCTGGATTTCTATTTGAAGTCTCTAGGTTAAGCTTGGGAACCCTATTTGTAAATATAACAGTGCTATGGCATCCTGCGGCATCCTTGAAAGGATCTAAAAGCACCTCAAGATGCCACGGCACCTCAAGAATCAGCACCGTGAAGGATGACCGTCCTCTTTGGGCAGCAAAGGGCCCCGTGGGCAATGCCGCTCCTCTGGTGCAGGCCCTGGGGAGCAGGCTGCAGTCGTGTCTGTCGCTCATCCCCGGCAATACAGGGGGCAAGATCCCGATGGAGGGTCTCTGCCTAACGAGAGTCCTGTTGCAAGCCAGACCTCAGGTCTCTGCTGCCTTGAAAGCCAGCTGCAAAAAGCTTCCCTTGTGTGCACATTTCCACTGCCTTGTAGTGCAAAATGCCGTGAGACATTCAGGGATCACAAGGCAGGTCCTCTCGGACCTAGCCAGCAAATCCTTGCGGCTCTCAGCAATGACACTGATTTGATTCCCAAGTGAGCAGCTGTACCAAGGGGCTTGGCACCACGCTCCCGTGGAAGGGCAGTGACTGAGTGGGTTTCCCCTGAGCTGCAGACGGAGTGGGCATGGTCCCTGCCCAAGCTGACGGCAAGACAAGCTGGATTTATCTCCGGCTGAGCGACTCTGGAACGGGCCCCAGACAGAGGTTAATCGGCCAGTAAAGCCGGGCTGACTCGCTCTGTGTTTGGGGCCAGGGGTTGCATTTATCTGGCTGGGTCTAGGGTTGTCGTTCAGGAAGAACCAGCTCCATTTAGCTCCAGGGTTGGTTTGCAATTGCTTTTCAGCTGCTGGAACAATGGAGAAGTAAATAGGACTTGGGTTTTCCCCTCAGGGCATGGGTTTGTGACGGAGAGCTGGTGGAAAGAGAGGGCTGGGCCAAAAGGGGAAGGGGTTAGGAGGACTTTGCACTCCTCCTCCAATGTCTAGTGTATATTCCTCCTTTACATCACCTCTGGATTTGGCCCAGAGCCGCAGGAGCAAAGCAGAAAGCAACAGCATCCCTTTTGGTTTTCTGCATCTCTGAGCATGAATGAACCACACCAGGCTGGGACTCAGGACCCCTGGGGTCTTTTGGTGCGGGAGCCTGAGTAAGTCACCCCATTGCTCCCTGCCTCAGTTTCCCCATCTGTAGGAATGGGTGCTAGGAGGAGTGCATGGTCATAATTCATGCTTCTTAGGCCCTATCAGGCTTACAGGGATCCCACATCCTCAGGGACTTGGGTAGCAGTGACAGCCCTGTAGTCTGGGAGGTGGGTGAATGAGCTGGCACTCTGCTTTTGGACATCCGCACCCAGGTTTTCATGCCAGTCCCAGGATGAAGCCTCCTGTTGGTTCCCCTTTTAATCTAATGTAAGAAATCTTCACCTCTAAACCACCAGCAGACATGTGGTCTGGGGGGGCCACATTAATGGGAATCCCAGCCCGCAGCTCCCTCTCACCATGTCTCCTTGTGCCCCGCAGCCTGGGAGCTGTCTCCGAAGTGGCGGCCGCCGGGGTGATCGGCACCGGGACGCACAACACAGGCATCAAACATGGGATCCTGCCTACCCAGGTGAGACGCAGCCACGACCAGGCCGTAGCAGCATGGGCAGCCTGTGCAGGCTTTGCCATCTCTGCTTCAAGCTAAGCTCAATGCAAAGCTCCCCCCTTGCTCTGAATGCTCTGGGTACTTTGCAGGGCTAAGCTTCCCCACCACCCTGCAAAGAGGAGAGCTTGCAAGCTAGCGAGAGCAGGGGTCAGCAAGCCATGGCGTGTGGGTCAGCTCTGGGCTGCAACGAGGTTGGATCCAACTTGCAAGGGTTCGGCCATCCCAGAGCAGCTCAAGGGATCGGTGGCAGGCAGCTGTACTGCATTGCCTATCCCCTTGGCAGCTCTGATGTTCTCTCCTGCCTGTGCTAACCCTTGCTCTGCCCCTTGCTTCTGCGGCTGGCGTCCAGCTGCAAAGGTAAGCATCAGGGTTTGGGGCTCTGGGGACAGAGACTTACAGCTCATAGGGTCAAAATCTCCACTTTGCAGCAGCAAAAGGCCTCTGACCCCTGAGCGAGGGGAATACAGAGCTGCAGCAGACACAGCTAGGCTGATTTCCCCCGACATCTTACTGGGAAAAGCTCACTGCCAGTGCATGCCACTTGTCAGGAGATGCCTGTTCCCCATGCTGGGAAGATGAGACCCTCGTGATCAGAGAAGTAGGTGCTCCTGGGACTCGAAGCTGCAGCCCCTCCCCAGTCCTGCACATGCTTCCCGTGGCTGAGCATGTGGACATCTAGCCCTTCCTCTCTTTCCATGGGAGTCCATCCTCGGGGGAGAGAGGAATCACTGAGAGAGATGGGATGTTGTTATCTGGGATCTACAGGGGGTAGAGACAGGCACGAGCAGGTTAAGTGATGTGCTCTGGTCCTTGAAGAGCATCAGTGGCAGAGGGAGGAGTGACTCCTTGTCTTCGGCACTATGTTCTGCATTCAGACCTTTCCAAAAGGCTGTGTCTGTGGTTAGCATCTTGTCTCTCTTGCCCAGCATCTCTTGAGCTAATAGCCCATGTAGTTTGAAGAGGATTCTCCCCTTTATGTGGCTGCTCCTTGGCCCCGTGTGACAGCAAGCACTTCTCGGACCCCCACTTTGGGGCTCTGAAAACCAGCTGACACCCACATCCCTGGCCTCTCGCTGCGGACTCGGGGCTTTCTCCTGACCTCAGGGGCTGCCCGAGACCACCAGGCTGGCCGCAGAGGCTGCTGCCTTCCCCTGCAGCCTGGCGAGACCTGTCTCGGGCAATCCATCTCCCAGCACGCCTCCCCCTCCTCTCTGGCTGAAATGAGCCGTGACGATTCGACCCATTAAATGTGCGAGGCACCTCGTCAGCCTTCCCGTCTCCTCGGGGCACCAAGGCACGGAGAAGTGCATCCATCTCACTGGGCCGTGCAGCCTAGCAGGGCTCAGCTGCTGCCGGGGGCTGGCCTCCGCTGAAAAGGGATTGAGTGTAAGCAGCCGTGTGCTATTAGCTGGGTAACGAAGTCCAGAGCCCACTCATTCATTTCCAGCCAGGTAGCAGCTGCAGGGATGAATGGAGTCTGGAAGCATGGAAGTGGTTTCTTTGTCTTGGCTGCGTGGTTCATCTATCTCCCCATCGCCCCCACTCCAGGCTAAAAGCATCTTGGGTCTCTAGGGAGTTACCGGTGGTGTCAGGGTGGACTCCATCGATGTCGTTATCTGACTTCATTAGGGGTTAGGTGTTACAGGTCACATCCATTTGGATAGTCTATCTGGAGACTGTCTGTGATGTGGCCCCACATCCTGCTTCTCACTAGTTAATGTGACCAGATAAGGACATCTCTTTGCCAGGTCACTCTATTTCTTGCGATGGGACGCTGTTGCCGTGTCTTCATGTGCTCATTTAATGCGCATTAGCCTGATTTAAGGCACATTAAGGCCACAGGATGTGGAAGATACACCAGAGACATGAAATCCTAGAGATGCAGGGCTGGCAGGGAGCCGCAGAGGTCACATCTAGTCCAACCCCTGCCTGAGGCAGGGTCAGCCCTGTCCAAACCAGGCCAGACAAAGCCATTGTCCAACCTCTGAGCAACACGACAGTTACCCCTGACAGCACCAGGCATCGCGCCCAGCCCTGCCAGGGGGAAAGCCAGGGGACTGCAGCAACTAATGTCCTGCTTCTATAATGGTGATTTAAGGCTCTCTGAGCCTAAATTTGATATCTGCATAAAGCAGGTATCAAATTTATGTGCAAATAGCTAAATCGCATTAGCAAACATGTAGACACATTAATGCGCATGAACGTGGTATGTGTCCATTGACTTTGGACTAACGTTAGTCCCCAGTCAGTCCGTACACCTGCGTTAATGTACACCGGTGCATGCACATGTAGACATGAACCTAAATCGCCTTAATGTGCAATAAACTAATACGCATTAAGTTTAGGCACTCATAAAAGCACTTGTAGACACATGCCCTGTTCTGATCTCCTTAATTCACCCTCTATCTGTTGGTTTTGGAGGCACCTCTCAAACTAATGAGCTACTTTCCCAGTACTTCTGTGCACGCCATATAGAAATGCCTCACTTCGTATTCATCGGGGCCTGCTTTGGTTCAGGCCATTAGCAGGGCCTCTGTGTGACTTGTTTATGCCCTGAGCTGTGGTTGTATTAATTTAAACTCTAGCAAAATCTATAGGCGCAGCTTAGGGAATGGATGGGTCCTGCATGGCCACAGACAGACCCTGGGAAGCTCTCAGGCTTGGGAGCTCCTGGATGGATTAAAACATGGTGTCACCAAGCACCATGATGACCTGGTCCATGGTCATGAATTGCTATACTACATTACCTTGGCTGTCTCCTAATCTTTCCTACACTCTGGGCGCGTCTATGCATTCATTAATGCACTTCACATTAAGTTTATACTTGCATAACGAAGTACTAAATCAATGTGCAGTAACTGGGGCTACTGTGCATGGGTTTTTACAGACACGAACTGCTCAGTAGCCTAATACTACTGTGCAGTAGCATATTAGCATGGGTTTTGCCCTGCCTGCTGCTACACAGTGTTATTAGGCTACTGCACAGTTAGTGTCTTTAAGAGGTGAGGGGTGTGCAGGACCCCCCAACCTGCTAGTCCCAAGGAGCTTCCGAGCTAGGCCAGGAGCAGGCAGATGGGGGAGCACAGGGAATGAGGAGCTGAGCCCCGTGGCCTGGAGCCTAAGTGCATTGGCTGCCTGGCCATGGCTAAGGCTTCTTGGAGGCATGGTGGATCCATGCATTGGCTTGCGTTATCCAGCCCTGTCCGGCTCTGTTGGCCCTTCCTCCCGGGGTGCTCTTTGCCGTGACTCTGTGCCATCTTCCCTCCGGCAGGTGGTGGCGCTGACCCTGCTGACGGCGGCGGGGGAGGGCCTGGAGTGCTCCGAGGGCTCCCACGCGGACATCTTCCAAGCGGCCCGGGTGCATCTTGGGTGCTTGGGCGTCGTGCTTACCATCACCTTCCAGTGCGTGCCGGAGTTTTACCTGCAGGAGACCACCTTCCCCTCCACCCTCAAGGAGGTACCTTCGGGTCGGGACTAGAGGAAAAGCAGAGGTGGTTCTTTCTAGCTGCCTTGGAGGGCGTTGGAGTGAAGTTCCTGGTTGTGCACAATGCTTTAGGCCAGGGATGTCCAATGGGCTGCATATAGGGCACAAGGGATTATCTTGTGGTCCCTGGGCTCCTGCCCAGCCACCACATGGCTCTAGCTGCACTAGCAACCAGCAGCTCCGGGTCCTACCTCCCTCCGGCTTTCACTGCCTGCTGCAATGGGCAGTACAGCACAACGTGGCCTGAGACACGGAGATGCAGGTCCAGGTGCATGGTTTAGCAGGTGGGGGGGCTCTTGCATGGTGCAATGGGGGGCTGTCCGCAAGGGCTGAGGCCCGGGTGTTAACACATTTCACCCTGGGTGGATGGGTAAAAAAATGCCAATGGACCCTTGGGATGTTCCAACCCGTGTGAGAAGTTTATAGCTGAATCGACAAAGCAAGATTAGCAGCAAAGCATAAAGCATAATCTTACGGGATGGGTCTTGATTACTGCGAAGCGAAGCTGGTCAGGCTCCCAGTCTCCGTCAGCAGGGGGTTCTCCCAATGGTCGGCATGTAGGAGGGTCTCCAAATTCCCTCCAGCCAGTGTCCGGTATTTACAGGTGGCTGGTAAGCATCATTTCCATATTCTAATACCTCATCCCCGATGGTTTTATTTAAATGTCTCTGTTTCACTGAACTTTTCAAAACTGGATGAAACCAGATTGCTTGTGGACCCAAAAGTACTAAGAAGTTAAGATTGATATCCTTGAGGAAGCAAAAAGAAGCAAGGGGGAGGGTTGTTTTTTTTAAATTATCTCTCCCTTCCCTTTGTGGAATATTGCTTCACGTTGTTATTTTTACTACTTTTTTTCCCCCCTCACCTTTGTTCGTGGCCTGACAAGGCTGCTTGGTTTTCCCAAATTACTTTATCCTTGTGCTCGTTTGCTGGTGTCTCAAGAGACGTACAAATGGCTTCCCTTTGCCATGTTAGCTAAGCCAGCTGTTGCATCTGCAAGGGTTCGTGCTATGGTCACTCAGGCAAAGGCGTCTGGGATCTTTTCTGCTTAGCCACATTTTGCAGCTAGTCACGCTTAGGCGTGTCTACATGTGCATTAATGTGCTTTAGTTAATGCACATTCAATCTAGTACCTCCAGGCATTTATATACTGACATTTGTCTGCTCTGACGTGCCAGAGAGCTGCATGTGAGCTGATGCGCCCGGCGCTGCATTGCATATATTTGTATAAACAGCGAAATGTATGTCAGTGCCGAGAAAATGGCGGCAGTGCGCATTTGAACTAAGACACTTTCTATGTGTTTTAGTTCAAAAGCGTGCCTCTGCCATTGTCTCAGAGGTGATGCACATTTCACTGTTTATACAAATGCTGTGCATTAGCCTGTCTCCGCTCATTAACTAAAGAGCACAGTTTTTTATTTTAGTGACACTGTAACGCGCATTACAATAGGCTAATGCACATTAAAGTGCACGTGTAGATGCACCCTCAGGCACAGGCTTTGAGGCCTTTTGCTGCTTGGCTGCATGTTGCAGCTTGTCATTGCTATTCAGTCCAAGCTTAGGCCCAGAGGCATGGGGTGCTGTATTGGGTGGGGGGCTCCATGGCTTGGCCTGTTGTGGCCCGTGGCTGCATGGCCCCCACTGGTGCAGCCCCCACCTCTTAGAAATTGCACTGCCACGCTCTAGCCATGTTGAACCGTGTCCCCCTCTCACACTTGAGCTTCCCTCTGTCGTGACCATACACTAGGTGTTTTGTGCACTAGGAAGGGGAACAAGATCCATGCACTGAAATCACTCATTGGGTGGGTCCGGCTTCCACTTGTCACTGAAAAGCCCTGACCGCGGAGCTCTTTGGTCACAGAGACATCCAGCCCCATTCATGCCAGGGATGCACATAGAGATGGGGGTTTCCCAGTGGCCTTGCTCATGCTGTCTTGCTTGTATTGCACTGGGGTCCAATCCAGGGTCAGAGCCCCGTTACGCCGCACACTGTAGGGATCTGGAGCGATGCCTGATTGGGGCCTCTGTAGACTTACTCTACAGATCAGATGGGAACAGCTTTCACACCAGGTCTGAGTGACCATAGTGTGTGGAGAGAGGATAGAAGAGATGGTTTTTTCACTCTCAAGGGGATTTTTCTGTGTGGCTCCACATCACCGACACCTGGGCTGTAGTCATAACCCATTGCACTCGCACATAGCATGTGACTTGCAAAGGGCTTTACAATCCTTAATTGAATTAGGCTCCACAACACCCCTTGGAAGTAGATCAGTATTCTTCTCTCTGCCTCAGCAACCCAGTATGTAAACGAGAGCAATTAAATGGCCTGTCTGATTCAGTTTCATAGCTGATAGCATGGCTGAGACAGAAATAAAACCCAGGCGTCCGGCCGCTGCCCCCTGCTCTAACGACTCGTCCGCACTCCCAGGCTTCTAGGTTTTGCTGGTGCCACATGGGGCCAGGAAGGGATTTTTTCTCCCGTCCTACTGCTGCAAGTGTCAGAGGGTTTATATGCCACCTTCCTCAGAGGCACTGGGTGCTGCAGCCCGGGATGGGGATGGGGACGGGGCTGTGCCAATGCTCCTGCTGGCACCAACCCCAGAGGGTCCTGGCTGGAGGGTCTTGCCTCTCTGCTCAGGGTCAAACCGATGCTGCATTTGGGATCAGGAAAGAGATCCCCGCTCTGGTCAGACTGGTATGGACTGGGGTTCGGGGGGTTGCTTTTCTCTGTAGTCGGGGCACGGCCTCTGCCTGGGGTCTCTTAAGGGTATGTTAACAGCCTTTTCTAGAGGCAGGATGCTCACTGCCGTGTTCCCCCTGGTTTCCCTGGGGCAGGATCGGGGATGATGCCTGGTGCTATGTCAGGGGCAACTGTGTTGTTTTGCTAAGAGACTGGGGCAATGGTTTGTCTGGGCTGGTTTGGACAGGGCTGACCCTGCCTCAGGCAGGGGTTGGACTAGACATGACCTCTGGAGCTCCCCACCGCTCTGCTATGACTATTCGTGCTCTTTGCCAACCCTTGCCGTGGTGGGACACTGAAGCCCTCATCCCCTTGCTTTACCTGTGGCAGGTCCAGGGGCTCTTGAAGCCTTTGAGCAATGCACTTTGTAGCTGTGCAGGGTCGACTGAGCAGTTTTAGGCGAGGGAGGTGAACGTTTGGTCTCAAAAGCAACGGGTCCGAGTCACAGAAGCATAGATAATTAGGGTGGGAAAGGACCTCAATAAGCCATCTAGTCCAACCAGGACCAGCTTCAGCTAGATAATAAGTTTTATGACTTCTGAAAGTATACGGAGCCTCGAAACCACAGTGCTCAGAAGGAAGGAGCGGGGAAGTCCTGTGTTTGGAGAAAAGCAGCATGTTTATATGGTTGGAGTCTATTGGAAAGGCTGGGTCAATATGCACCCTTATAGACTAATGAAATAAGAGGGTATTGGATTATATTGGATAGCTGTTGTCCTGAGTGCTGGCTCTCAGAGGGTGGCCTGTGGCCCTTCGGTGGGCCTGAGAGATGCTGCAGGTGGGCTGTAAAGGTGCATATGAAGGGGAGGTCCAAGGGATTATCCAGCCCCCTCCCCGTATTCCCTGTGCACCTAGCAGCCTTATGCAGAGATGCCCCTCTGCTCCTTGCAGGCTCCCCGCAAACTAGGTAGCAGTTGAGCTGCCTGCAAGGACATGCTTGGAAGTTTCCAAGAGCAGGTTGGACTGACTTGGCTGGGAGGATCTTACCTTGAGCAGGGGGCTGGACTAGATGTGACCTTGTGAGGTCCTTCTCAGCCAGACTTGCCCATGATCTTTAGAGAAGAGGGACCGCGATAAAGGGACAGTATGGCTCTGCATGCAAGGAGGTGGCCTGCACACAACTAGCTTCATCATCTCTGCATGAAGCTGCTCTGTTCTGGCGTGGGAGTGACACCGTGCTCCTCTGTTTCTGTGGGCAGGTCACTTTGCTGTAGCCAAGGTGGGCCGGGGACCCTCAAGGCTGACGTCTCAAAGGTCTGGAGCACTGCAGGGACAAAGCAAGCAACATCATAGACTCAGATAGACCCTGAGGGTCATCTGGTCCAACTCCCGGCTGCTCCTGTCCCTGGCTTCGCTGGCCTTGTGAGAGCCAGTGATGCCTGGTAAATCTCCCATGACTATTGCCTGGCCCTGGGCCTGGGAGATGAAAGACCATGTACAAGCTTGCTCCTGGCAGCAGCTGCTAAGGAGGAGGGGTACACACCATTCACATCCGCATTTGCTCTGCTGCCAGTCTAGGGCTGTAGCTAAAGGAAATTCAACCGGTAGAAACAACCTTCGCAGGGATGAAGCTGATCAAAAGCTCAATCAAGGGGCTGCGGGGATGGCTATCTGCAGGGATCGGGTGGTAGCAGTCTTGGATGCTGTTCGGCAGCATGGGGGTGTTCCCGACCAGCTGTCGCTCTTGGGGGTCTGGCTGCTTGGGTCAGGATGCTCTCGGAGGCCATTTCCTGAAGCCTGGGCATGATAAAGAAAGAATGATTTGAATTTGTGTTCGGTGGATGAATCTCAGGGAAGGTTATTGCCCCTTAGGACAGTGCACTAGTGGGTCTGGAGAGCAGTCCACCTGGTTCAGCCAAACCGCCCAGACAAAGGCAAGTGATGCATTACATGCACAGATGCCCCCAAAGTCACTCCAAGAGGGAGAGTCTTGCAACCCCCGTGCTTATAGCCGAGATGCCCCCACTCCACACCAACTCTTCTCTTTCTCAAGATGTCCCTTTTTCGTCTCTTGAGCAAATCCAGGTCCCTGCAACTCATCCCTTGCCATCTGCAGCTCCCCCCTGCCAAGTTCAGGCCTCTCAAGCTCACTGCCTGCGGAGTTCAGGCTTTTCCAGCTCCCCCCCTGCTGAGCCTGGGTATCTCCAGCTCAACTCGTTATCGCTCTTTGATGAGCATGGTCTGATTTTTTATTTATTTATTTATTTATTTAATTTTTTAAGACTCCTCAATT